CTCACTTCCTTAAAGCCGTGCCTTCCTTGCTTGTATGGAAAATAACCCAACAAAACTCTTAAATAAATAAATAAAATTGAGAAACGGATTCTTTTGCTATTTCTTCCAATTCTGCCGCTTGTGCTGTTTTCTGGTTGCGGTTTTATGCTGATAAATTTGTTGATGGTGCTCGAAAGTCCTGTTGATTAACTTCTTCGTTTGTTTATATTTTGTATCAAATAAACAAAAAAAATTAACAAAAACAAAAAACAAAAAAAAAAACAAAAGATTATAAAAAAAGTAGAATTTAAGTGGACTTTTTGACTACTTGATTTCTTTCACTTTTTGCGTGCAAATTGGTTCGTGTGGATTGAGCCAACCAAAGACACACTGACATGGCAAAGGTGCAGGAGTAGCTCCTAACGGCTGTGGTGTACATTTAATCAACAAGCAAATGTAAAGCAAATATTTTTTGGCATGAGTAATTGGAAAAAGTTAACACGTACACGTTGACTTTCATTTTGAGAAAAAACTTCTTCATTACAAGACAAAAAATACCATGGAATATGCACCAGGCATAAGTACATATAGATACTATACAGTAATATAGGAAAATTTAATTAAGACAGTTCGATGGCAAAAACCACAAATGTATCTTTTTCCAAAAGTTAAAACTATTTCTGTGTGCAATTTTATATATTTTTAATATAAATTGAATTTTTGCATAATATAATATCTATTAAAAGAGGTAATTTTTTTTGTAATTTAATGAAATGAAAATAGCAGGTTTATATATAGTACTATAGTACTTAAATGCAGATAGATTAATATTTGCAATTCGTTTTTATAAGAAATTTGCACAAAAATCAATTAGGTTTATTTTTTCAAGTATTTTTTTATTGTAGTATTACTCTTCAATATGTATATATTATACATATTTTATGTTGAAGCTATTTGTGCCAGTGCACTTGAGCACTTTTACTCTTTTTTAACTCGAGGTATTTATCACTTCATTCTTCACTTCCCTCTTTGTTTATCACTTCATCAGACTAAGCAATAATTGAACTCAGATCTGCATACCTACCCAAGGAGCCTCTAACCATTCTGGGATTTGATAACGCGGTGTTGGTAAGTCTGTCAGTTTTCGTATATAATTTATATACTTCTAACATTTATATATCTTTTGATCGGATCAATCTTGAGGTCCTGAGGATGTCATTCGTCCTAATGCACCATTATACATATAGTCCAATATACTTTTATTCTTATTGATAGTATAATTAATTGCATAGAAACTTAAAAATTCATATAAAAACGCAAAAATTTTCTCTTTTTTAATTGCTTTCATTTTCTCATATTTATTATTCATATAATTAATATAACATAATTCTGCTGGTTGATTCAAAACCCACTTAAATAGTTGAAGCGATTAATGGAATGTTTTATAGTTTCATCAACTATAATTTTAATAATTTTCAATCAACTATAATTTTATAATTTTAATTTTTTTTTTGTCGAAAATGACGCATTTTATGACGAAAAGAAACTATTAAAAAGTGAGAAGGGATTGCATAGAAATGAGAATACAACAACAAAGTGAACCGTATTATGACGAAAAAAAACTATTTAAAAGTGAATCCATCTATTCAAATAGAAATAAACATACAACAACAAAAATTTAGTTAATTTATTGAAAATTGGCTAACCATAGGTACAACGCTTTTTCGAGTATTGTCAAGTACTCATCGTCAGTGGTCTGAGGAAATAATCGAATTTCTTATTCATTAGTTTATAGTGCGTATATAATTTGTTTGGACTGCAAGTGTCAGATTCTTAGAATTCGTGCTGTCAAATTAGAAGTCATGACTAATAGTGTTTGTCCACAAATAGCCAAGGCTGTTCAAATGTTCAATGCTTAAGTTTCAAGTTTTTAGTCACTTTTTATATAAAACCATATTTTAGGGTTTCTAAGTTAGAATATCCTAATTCGACGAACCAAGAAATTCTCTTATATCCATTGTCTGATTGCTTTAGTTCACAAAACTTGAAACTCTTTCAACTTTAGATTCTAAGCTCTTAGGATTTTTCAAATTGATTGTGTTTATTAGATAATTAAGACAGTAGCAAACATCAGTCAATACTCCTAGACAAAAATTTGGTGCATTACCTTGCATATACTAGTATTATTAGTCTTATTAGTAATAGTATTATTATTATTAGTTCATACTAAGTGCAGTGGCTTATCCAGTAGAGGGATTACATGAAAGACCACGCCTTGACAAATAAGAAGTGGATAATATAAATCATATAATTCCGATATATTGTAGTAATATTATTAGTTAAAATTAGTCTGTAAATTATTATTATTACTATTATTGTTATTATTATTATTGAAAAGAAGTGGTAGTGCACTGCGACTTTAAAGATCTATTGTGCCCTTGTTAATTATCAGTTAATGCTATATTTTGAACTTCACAAACACTGGGAAAACATCGACTATCGAAGAAGAAATGGTAGAAGAGTTAGTTTTATTGTGTGATTCCGGAATGTATTTTCATTGTCGAATATAACACCAATACAAATACTACTGTTTAAATATACATATTTAAATACATATAGATGTGTACATATAAATAAAATTGCTGCTAAATATTATTATAATTATTTTAATGAACTGCGCAAACATTACGCAAAAGTATGTTCTAGTATTTCCAATGATGACCACGTCATTGATTAAATAAAATATCAGAAAAAAATCATAAACTATATTTCATTCGTTATCATATCCATTTTACACCCGTAAAGTATGCAAGCATTTTTTATTTAAAAATATAATCTTATATTCTTCGTATTTATCATAACAGAAAATCAATTTGCTATCAAAGATGCACTTATATATAACGGTTGTATTACGTTTAAATGATTAATCACTTTCAAAGAACAAAATAAACTTTTAAGCATTATTATTAACATACGTATTCACATATAAAGCAATCAATTAAAAAATTTTTTGGACTAATCACTGATGTATGTCTAAAACTTTTTGGATGAAGCATTTTTGATATTAAGTGACTGATTTGATTATATGTGTTTTCGGTTAGAGATTTGTTTGACGATTAGTGTTTCGGTAAAAAAATAAAATAACTCAATCATATACCTACATGGTCCACATTTAACCACTTTTTGGATCAAGCAATCAACTCCTGAAATCAACTGTTAAACACTGTCACTTCTACAAATTTTTTATTGAAAATACTTTTGAATATTTAGGAACACTATTTAAAAAAATTTTTGCAAATATATAGCTTAAGCCACAAAAATATTAATATTAAAATTTTCTTTCATGGAAAATAAATTTTTCATTACTTAAAGTCAACACCATTTTCCAACTTATTTATGTTACGAACAGCTGAACGAATAAATACACCATTTCATATGATATGACATTATCTGTGTTTTATTATTACGCGACATTTCTCTTTCTCCCTTTGTAATTAATGAGAAATGCACAAAAATACACAAGTGCAACGTTTTAAAATGGTCACTTTACATTACAAGGATAAGCAATTTAAACAGATAAGTTCACCTTTTCATAGACTGAAATCAGCAATTGACATATCCTGACACATTTACTCATGCAAACATCGTCAACTGACAAGCTCGCCCGACTACAGCTCACATATCATGGTAGTCGGTTGGAAGGATTGCTGACGTCAAGTACAACATAATTGCAGTGCATAAACTTAAAGCAAATGTAAACAAAATAACAACGACAGTGATGACGAGCTGTACCGGAACTTTTTTCACATTTCAACTTTGATTTCATAATAGAAAGCAACTGAGTGCAACTTGTTTGTCTTTAGACTGATAACTCATGCGGCAGCACATCCAAATTGAGATTAGGCCACACATATCAAGGATGTGAAACAGTCAGCCTCATCATCTTTTCTCGTAATAGTCAAAGTATAAGGGCTGAAATTTAATTAAACGCGCTCACTTGCTGCACAAACAACTGTGACTGTGACTGCGACTGACTGAGTGGCGATAGGGCAGTAACGACCAAAACCTAGTAACCAACAACCAACAACCAGCAACCAGGAATCATGAACCAGGAATCATGAACCAACAACCATACTGCAATAGCTATATGTATATACGTAAACCAGTGGTAATAACAAATGCAATAACGTCAACAGCAACAGCAGCAATAACAACTTGCAACAGCAACTTTGTATTGCTGCTTTGTATTGAAATTGCAATGGCAACCGACTTGATGGGGCGACATTGGTAAATTCGATGTGGCGATGCAGTAACGCCGCACATACAAGAAAATTGCCAACGGCAAATTTACTTGGGAATGTGAAGACCGCGATTGCAATGAGTATTTTGTTGCGTTGTTGATTTACGTGAATCGCATTTACAATCGCAAATTGCTGCGTGTTGTAAATTCGGGTGAAAATTACACAATTCCTGTGGTGCGGCGTACATATCCTTACGCTAGCACACTCCACACTCTATATCGTCTGCTGGTGGCACAAATTCACAAATTCCTGTAACTTGCGCTCAGTCACACTCTCATTCACATTCGCATTCACATTCACATATGCAACCCACACTGAAATTCATTTTGGAAATGTTTTCCAGGATACGCGCATTAATTTTTTATTGCCGCGTTGACAGCATAAAACGAAATGTTGCACAACATTTAATGGCACACAATTGTGATTGGAAACGTTGCGATTGCGCTGCCTATAAAGTTGAAAAATTATATTTTGCGCAAATTTTAATATTTCATTTATTTTCAAGTCGATTTTTACGTTTTTTAATTTTTTTTTTCCTTTTTCGAAGCATTTTTCCATACACAACACAAATAAATTAAAGTGAAAGGTACTTAAGCCGCTTATCAGAGTTGTTTTGTTTTTTTTTTTGTATGATTACACTTTTAACTTTACCCTCTCACTCTTGTTTATTTTGCATTAATTTTATTAATTAATTTAAGAATAATTTTTGCATTCACTTACCTTCTAAATCAACAACACGTCCGGCTCGTTTCAACGCACGCACTGCTTCATCATGTGTTGCCTCACGGAGTTCTTCGCCATTCACTGTTAGTATAGCATCACCAACGTATAATCCTTTGGCCTGATCTGCTGCCATGCCACGAAAAATTTTCGAAATTAATATTGGCATGCGATTTTCTCGGCCTCCCTTAATCGATATACCAAGACCATTATTGTCCGATTTAATGATACGCACCTAAACGAAATCAATTAATTTAGCAAACATCCTTATATCCTTATTGGGTTCTGGTGTTGGGGATATGTGCAAACTTACATGTCGTTTTTGATTTGCTACATGATCAGGTACATCGCACATATCCAAGCCATTGTCCATTGTGTTATTATTGAGCATATGTTCACCGTTTTCCGTGCAAGCATCCATTTCGGCTGTATTCGCTGCTGCTCCCATGCCCTGCATCGAGCCAGACGATGGTATCGAGCCATTGTGGCCACTGTGATTACTCCTGCACAAAGGATAAGAACAATACATAACATAAATACTCATTTGCATTTTATTGGCAGCAATTCACTACTGCCGCTTAACCTACCCTAATGTGCCATTAAGTGTGGTCGAATGATCTACGCTTATTGCCGTATCGCATGACTCGTCCAAACTAATGGCCAGAAAATCAGTTTCCAGTGCTACCAAGACACGATACCATGCGCCGCGTACACGCGTTTCCAATGTGCCGCAACGCATACCGGAGGGCGAGTGCTGTGGTATGGGCTGTTGTGGTGTGGTTAGTGGTCGACCAAGACTTGAAGATTCCACCATTTCGTTTACTTGATATGTTGCCAGTGCTTTTTGGTCTTTTTACGCGCAGTTTGCTGTGCAGATAAAAATTCTTATTGCAGCATTCAAAAAATTTAGTTGATATGAAACTGATATGATTCGTCAGGAAGTCTCTTTAAGGCAGACATTTTGATATTATTTATTCGAGCTGAAAGTAAAAAGTTAAATACATGAATATATATTGTTTAATATTAAATATTCGTTTGACGTAAATGCAAGCATAAATGTTCTTTCACATAAATGCAAGTCAATAAAAACAAAAATTTAAGTAAAAATATTTATTAAACATTTTTATGTGCATTTTTAAGAGAATTTTTTTCAAAATAAAAAATAAAAAAAAAATAAAACAAAACCATACAAACTTTTTTTATTTAAGTATGTAATTTTTAAAATCATGATTTAATAAATACAATTTTATAAATGACTCAGTTTTGTGGTAAAAGTTATAATATAAAGAAAACTCTATACATTGATAATACTCTACCACAAATTATATAGAAAAAAAAGCAAAAAAGTAATAAAATAAATTTTACTAAATGCATTTTTAAAGAAATTATCAAATTTTGCTTCACTAATAACAAATAGAGTAATATACGAAAGATTAAGATATCCAGCAGAGATACAGCATCACTAACATTGCATACGTACTCTGCTAAAAATCAAGCCCAATCAAACCAAAAGTATTCAATGTTTCATATGAAGTCTCAGAAAGTCTCCCGTTGAGCGGTTTGTGGTTTTCGGTAAGAATAGAAATTTCCACCTCAAAATCATTTTCTTGACACATCTCAAAAATCGTCTGTTACAGAGTAGGCAAGTACACGTTTTATGTTCTATCAATCAAAAACATTACTCTAATACCGCAAATAGATAAATTTTGTCGGTATGTTAATGCAGGTTACAATATGTTGCAGAACCTATCTCTATAACCAATTTTAATAAAAAATTTTATAGTTTTTTCAAAACAGCGTGTATTTTCTTGGAACTTGTATTTACCTTCTGCTCAAAAAGTATTCGGATGTGATTGTTTGTTAACTACTCCTGAAGTAATAGACCTTTTTCAAAAAAATTTTTTTTGTTATGTTGGTACACCCTTTCTTGACATATGGTACAAATTTGAGCGCCATCTGTTTGTTTACAGCAGCTATGTTTGTGAAACTACCTCAAGTACATTTAGCGATTTTTACTATGGAAAATTCTTGTTGTACGCGATTTTTTGACCGAACACGGCACCACTGTCATCGCTCAGGCACCATATTCACCAGATCTGGATCCGTGCGACTTTTTCCTGTTCCTGAAATTTAAATTGCCTCTTCGTGGTAAGCGTTTTGGTTCGGTTATATCGGTAAAAAATAATTCGCTGAAGGAACTAAAAGCCATACCTTCATGGACCTACGAAAAGTGTATGGAAGAATGGGTTAAGCGTTGGCATATGTGTATGGCTTCAGAAGGAGCGTACTTTGAAGGAGATAAAATAAATTTGGAATAAAATTTAAATTTGTGTGTTTTATTTACAAAACCCGAGTACTTTTTGAGCAGAAGGTATGTTATAGATTTAGAAATAAACTGATAGAAGTTTTGAAGAGAATATTCTAGATACAGATACTGATAACTTTTAATCACTTGGGTAAGAACGGCAATGTTATGAACGTCTACATGGTTAAATGATACAGACGATAATCCCTTTTCTTCATTTAGGGCCCTGCAGACCTTTTAAGTAAACGTTTACTTGTTTGTAGATACAGAAGTTAATGCTTTCTAATTACTTGTGGAGATGAATACTTTGCAAACTTTAAAGACAAGAATCTCTAAGAAAAAAAATATTATTGATTAATTTTTAAACCAATACTTCATTCACAGTTACTTTTCATTCCACATACAAAGTTTTTTTTTCAATTCTTATTATTATTATTATTTATTTAAATGCATTAAGGGACAACCCCATTTATTGTAGTATATTGAAGCTAATAAAAAAAAAATAGATAAGAAATTAAATAAAATAAAAAAAATAATTAAAATAATAATCAGGGTTGAAGATTTAGTTTCTTGAGAATGTTTATTCAAGAAAATAAACAACTTTTGCTGATGTCACTCTTGGAACTTCCATGTATATCGACAATTGATAGTATTCTTACTGTGTGTATAGTATTCGCTTTTTTCATATTAAGATCATTGAGGTAAGTCTCACTATTAGCTGCACAACTAACAACTAAGGTAGAGAGCATTTGAAACACATTTTATTTATGATATCAAATAGATAATTGAACCGACAACGCAACATATAAAGTTGCTCATGTGACATGCTCAAGCTCTTGTCGTCAAGAAAAATGGTGCTTTAAGCATGGATTAGGACATATCTATAGATTGTTGTGGCTAAAATTTTTGTTCATTGCGAACAGCTTGATGGTTTGAAATTAAAATTATTTCAGTAAAGTGTGATTATTTTTTTAAAGAAGGCTTTTAATATATAGGATCTGATACTGTAGTCTCGTGTAAAGGATTGTGCCAAACAAAAGAATGGATATATATTTACATTCTATTCCATTCCATATTTTCTACAGAAAATACCTTTTTTGGTGCTGTTTTTTTAAATGTATCATCTGTGAATTAGGTATACTGAAAAGGAAGAATTTGTGTTTTAATAACACCTCTTCCCAGGCTTCATTGTAAACGTCATTATATATCAATGATTCCTTGAAAAGTTTCAATAATTCGATATATTTTTAAAACATAATCAAAGATAATTTGTAATATATTATCAAATATAAAAAATTCTTTTATAATTGTTAGTAAAAAATGTTGATTAGAGAGGTTTCGAACAGTAGTCAGTTGCAACAACAACATTTTATTCTTTTTTTATTAATTGGTTTTATGGTTGACACATCATCAATGGCCGTTTGGATATATTTTTTATATTTATTTATTCGTAAATAATTTTTTTATACTATAAGTACCAAGGATTGAACTTATACCCTGCATAAATTAGAAGCTCAGAGTCAGCGTTCATTAGCCGATTGACACAAAGCCGTACTTAACTTATATGTTCGCACTTTTTTCTGGAGGTTTTGTTAATTTGCTTTGAAAGTTCATTAACAAATCTACTTGCTGTGTTATATTAGAATGAATTCATAAACCAGCTGCAGAATAACTGTATTAATTAATTATATTTAATTAATTATATTTTCAATTGCTAAATTTTTAGCTTCAAATTTCGCAGAGTACAAATTCAATTGCAGTCTAAAAAATTGTTCACAATTAATTACATATAAGAAAAAACTCTAGAATAGAAACTCTAGACAAAACTTTGACAATAGCTGTAATAGCTGTATAATCAGCCAAAAATTTAATTATTTAAAAAATAATTAAAGTTTTGTTTTTGTAGTTCACTATCATTCGAAACCACTTCATTAAATAGGTATAATAGTATCGATTTAGTATTAAATTAAATTAAATAAAAAATATTTATTTTGAAATAATTAAATTTAAATTAATTCAGTGTGAAAGAAGTTAAAGTATAACAAATTAATAAATTTTTAAAAAATATCCTAAAATAAAAACTATATTAAATATTTAATATGTATGAAATATATAAAATTTAAATACTTAAATAAAAATTACAGCTTTAGAGTATTTTCTAAAATATTTATTATATATTAAAATGTTTATTATTATTTTCCATGTATTAAAATTTTTAATATTTATATTCCTATATAAAAATATATAAGTAATAATTTTTATATCTCAACAAGTTTAAAATAATTTTAGTCTATAATAAAAACGCAACGTCAATAAATATTTTGAAAGCATCCATAAAAATTATATGGTTTTCTGTTTTAAGTGCTAAAATGGTTTTTAGGTCCATAACTCCTTCATCGAATTCGATTTAAAACCCAAATTTCCACCAATAAAATTCGCCTTTCGAGGCAAATATTGTTCGATAAATTTTATTATTAAAGGGAATAAAAATTATTATTACGAATTCGAAGCCTTTCGGCAGTCGTACGAATGATTTGCGGACCAAACTAATTTTCCAATAAAATGTTTATGTTTCAATACTTTTAATAGTTTTTCATAAAAAGTGAATAAATTTGCAAATTTCTATAATTGAAGTTGCCGTGCTAATCGAAAATCACAATTATTTTTATTGCTACGGAAAATAACTGAGCAATTAACTTTTATTGAAAAAGTTTAAATGAATATTTTTTTTTGCTCTAATTGCCAAAACAAAAGTTGAATTTAAAGGAAATAATTAATTTTTTATTAACAGAAACGGGAAAAACTAAATTTATTATAAAATAATGGAAAATAATTTGTTTTTTTTTTAAACGGTTTGTTTGACTTGCTTAATAATTTTTAATTTAAAAAAGCTTTGGGCTCACTAGACCAGAAATTGAGATACCTTCAAAATTATGATGCCTCCAAACATTTGCTTTCATTTTTTTAATTTACCTAATATGTAAAATTATTGAAGAGAGTGTATATAGAAACTACTATGGTCTGTTTAAATTAATATAAGTATTAATTAATAAGTATTTATGTTATTAAGTATTAAAAATAATTCTGAGTATTAATAAAAAAATAAGATTCTAAATATTACATATTGAATAACATCCTCCTAAAGACGGTAAACCAAAGATAATTTACTCAGAAGATATGCATGCGCAATCAACTTGGGCTCGAAGCTGCTAGGACTGGCAAATCCAGGGATGAAGTGAAGGAGGTTGTGTGGCAGCTACCTGACCTACGGCATAATCAACTTGGATATCGCGTTCGAACATCTCGTTCGAAAGTATAAATATTTGCAACATTAAATGTGAATATTGGAAATAAGTACCGGAAATAAAGTAACACTTCCTTTTGTAGTATAATAAAACTGCACAATCTAAATGTTGCCCTTTGCTGCTCATAAGTTCTACGGGAACAAATATATACGTAGTTATTTAAACAAAAAGAAAACTCAATGTTTCTTGATATTTTTATTAAACTTCAAACCTTTATTAAATTAAAAATTACTTTAGACAAAAATAAAATTGTCTTTATGAATTTATGTTTAACTTTAACTTTGCAAACTTATTTAACTTCTTCAAACTTCTATTTTTCTTCTTCTCTCCTCTTATATCTTTCTTTTCTTTTTTATCTTGCTTTCA